CTCCAATTATGTCATTAGGAGTGTATATTATTTTTGGGTCTTTATACTTGTCTATCAGAAGATTGCCGATGAGTTTTGCAGTAGCTTGACGTTGTGCGTAAGATCTGTCTTTCAGCGGGCATGAGTGCAGTTTGCTGAAATTTCTGACCTTGAAAAGTTTTGCTTTTTTTAGGCTCAAAGACTTAAAATACCAATCGCAGTTGTTGTTGATGTACACTAGGCCGCACCTATGACAAGGATATAGACTTTTCCATCAATAAATAGAGCGACATGAAATACAATGATATATAGTGATACACACTGCCATCAACAATACTAGATGAAAACATATAATGACTATATAGTACTACACGGTGACAACCACAACTTAAAAGTGTATAGCCACAGACTTACAAGCAGCAACTTATTTTCTGCGTAATTATGCTTCTAACATCAACTAAGATATACATTGAGATACATAATTATATAGTAAATATTTTGATACCTTCTTTCACTTGATCTATGCACTTTAAACTGGAATTTTTTCTTTACTTCCAAGTGCTTTATGACTTTGACTATCGTAGCCTTGTCTTTATAAATTTGACCTTCTTCTACATCTATGTGTTGAGGGTCAGTTATTATTTTATTTTCATCAGATTCTGTATCTTGCCAGTTTTCTCCATCCCCAAATTCAATCATATTAATTATATCGCCATTGTATCTCTCCTGCATAACAGAGCTTTGTGCACACTCTGAGGAAATCACAGCAAAATTTAAATTGTAGCAGATCATATATATATCATTTTCACTCGATGTTATACAAAGGGGATACATTATAAATTTCGAGCTTTTTTCAGCTCAAGATATACACATACACCCATATTATTGTGTATAACTATTGGTGGAGAACCGTTTTGGACAGTGTATTTGATTTCAATAGCATTCAATGAAGTATCTATCATAAGTTGTTTCGAAATCAAGTCTACAAAATCTTCAAAACTTATATTTGGGGTAACTATTACAACATCGGCATTGTAATCTACAAAACTGTTGTCAACATTCCATCGGCCACCATACTGAATAAAAATTGGTAAATTTGCCATTGAAGTAGCAGAAATTAGGTCAAAACTCACTAATTCCTTTATTGATTTTGATTGTAGTTCGTAGTTCCTTCATCAAAGTTGTATCTACAGAGAAATCGCTAAAGGAAATTGTTGCTTCTACAGTGAAATTTATCGATTTTTGAGTGAAATTTGGAGCTCCTTTTGAGACTTTTTTGGGAGATAATGCCGTGATTTACATAATGTAGGTATCTGTGAAATTGATATGCTTGAAAAACAGGGAAGGAAGGAAGATCTTTAGCGTGATTCTCGAATGGAAGAATCCTTCCTTGCGTATATCTCTAATTTTCGGCTAATTTTAGTGTCGAATTTTGGGCTAGAGGTTGGTAAATTTGAGTTTAAATTGACTATTTCTGTACATTTTCCTATTTTTTATAGGAAGAAGGAAGTATATTACATTGAGGCGAATTCAGGACTTATTTTCAGTTGGAGCGAATTCAGGACTTATTCGGTGGGTACATAATAAGTTTAATCTTATTATATACATATATTTTTAAAAATATTTTATATATACATACGTAGTTGGAGCCAAATATAATATTTTCAGTTGAATCCGCAAAATACATCTTAATTCTGCCTCTAACAGTAAGCTAACGTGTCATGAATCAAAATTAGGTCACCTGTTAACCAGCAAAAAAATCAGCGGGAGTGCTGCTATATTTTAAAATTGAAGAATGAAGGTAACACATATATAGCATATTGATACTACATTGAAAATTCCAAGTACAAACAAAAGCAAAATGGTGGTAAACCGATATGGTTGGTATGAAACCCTAATGTCTTTTTCAGAATAATTCCTAAAGGTGATATAAAAAGAATGCTTTAGTAAAGGGAAACACTGAAAGGGCCATATTCTTGTCATACTTAAAAATGAAGTATTTAACCTTTTTACAAAAAGAAGATTAAAGAGAGCTGTGTAGAGAAAAAAAGTGAAACAAAAGATAATACATTTGGATCACGTTGCCAAAACTAACAAAAGGATGTGAACATGCAAACAATATAGTAGTTGGTGAATTTTACAGAGTGTTTCTGAGGATTGAACACCATCTTCCCAACTAGTAAGGAATGTTGCCAAAAAGTATCTGAATTCATGAGTATTTGTCTTTCTCTTGGTTTGAGGCTAATAGAGAAGGAGCACTAATTTGTAATGATATTTTTTTTTTGACTTCGTGTGGGTATATTGCATTAATAGAAAAATAAAGATATTTTTTTTGGGTTTTACACCAAGTGTCCGATACTTACTTCAGTGTCCCGATTAATTCGGATTTCGGATTCACGTTGTGTAGTACCTCATTAAAGTACTCTTTATCGGAATTTTTTCACTCCTAAAACTTGAACACGTTACATCTGATTAAGAGTGAAAAGATCCTAATCATGTCATCACAGTTAGGGCTGCTTATCGGGCGGATTAGGCGGTTAATTACTCTTAACGATTTGGCTTAACGGTTATCGGCTTTTAAATGTATTAATCCGCTAGCCATCCGATAAGATATCGGGCGGATTGGTATCGGTTTAGCTCTTATCGGGCGGTTTATCGGCCTAATTCAATCTATATTGCGTGCATTAATTGTTTGTTGACCGCCTAGCATACAAATTCAGAATAGGAAATTATACATTGAGTCCAGACATACATGTCTGTTAATGCCTACAGAAGAATGATGTAGTGTATCATGTGGTGTAGAGTGAAAAAAGCAGAACACATTGTAGTCTACATTACATCCCAAAGCAGACTATGATATGATGTAATTAAGGAAAAAGTAGTTCTAATGGATATGTCACTGTAACTCTTGCTAGCTATAACATGGATCATACAAGGATATCAAATTTTATTGAGATAACTATGTGATTGCTTGGGTTTAGATGCAAAGGAACAATTTCAGTTGTTTAGCTCATTAAATATAATGGTATCTAAGCTTTTATTAATTTATTCATATCACAAACGAAGCAACATTACAATAAACGTGCGGTCCTTCCCTTTGTTTCTTGTTCATTTCTCTTAGAAAGGTAACAATATATTAATAATTGACACAAAGGATGTGCTGGAGCCATATTTATAATTTTAAAAAGCAAAAATATGAGCTTGCTCTTCATACTAGGGCACTAAGATAGAGTGCTGGAAGCCTGGAAGTCGACGGGATAGAGTACTGTGGGTGGCTGCTAGAGTGCTGGTTGAATTTCTACTGAAGCTAGTTGAATTATGGTCGAATAAAGAGAACCATAATTCTGCTGGTGGTTGAAGTTTAGGCGTTAAGGTTCTGATTATTTAGGAGTTAGGCGTTAGAACTTAGAGATAAAGTACTAGAAGAAGTGGAAGGGTTTTTGATATTTAATATANCCCCAAACCGATAAGCCGTTAATAAAAAAAATTCAATCCGTTCTCCGTCCGTTAAACTGTTAACCCGATATCAATAAGCTATTAAGTTTCGGTTTCGATTCGGTTTTCAGTTTCGGTTCGGTTTTGAACACCCTAATCACAGTCCTTAGAGTTAAAGACCTTTAGCTAATTATCATTTTCACCGGTCCATATTATCTATCTTTGAGGATTCTTATACACCCTTTATGAAAGACTTTTAATAGCCTTAACTATTATATTTATCTAAACTATCTTTTATTTCTCCATTAACATCTCATGTAGCGCTCCATTTAAATATTATAGTAGTAGATTTGAAAAAGAAAATAACAAATGACATTTTGTTATTCTAGAAACATCAATTATTTTTTTAGAAAAAGATCAGTTTGACAAAACGATTAATTTATTGGACCGGAGGGTGTAATATAGAAGTATTTTTAGCCCACTAATTATAACCCTTTCAAATATGATGATAATAAATATTTAAGTATAAACTGGAGCTTAGCATCAAGAGAGGGGATATGGAGCCCCTTTCAACCCTAGTCCAAGCTAAAAGGTGGTGAAATATATCACTCAGTTGAGCTTAATTAGTCATGTAGGATAATACTAAACTTTAAGCTATACATATTTTTATAATTAGAGTTTATATTTTATACATGTACTGATGGAATAAAAATTATTTACATAATCAAGCCACGTAAAAAGAAATTATAGGCAATTCCCTTTGATAATTGATTGATTAGTATCATAAAATAATGGTAACTAACCACCTTTAATATGTTAAATTGCACTTGTAGTATACAGTAGCCGAAGCGAGAAAATTCAACAAGGGTGTATAAAATTCGAACATCCTTTACTAGTGGGTTGTGCAAGGATATTTAAAGTCTATTTTTTTAATCAATGACAAGTAAATTTTTACCCTATAAACAATATAATTTTTTAGCGAATGGTGTTTAGTTGACCATCCTTGACCACACATAGTTCTGCCCCTAGTAGTATATATACAAAAATCATGTATACTAATAGTATATATAACTTAAATGTTTAATGATATCGATGGTTATGTACATCTACTTGAGATGCTAGGATATCTTAGTCATTTGCTTTCTTTATTCATGGGCGGAGATAGCATAGGAATTGCGGATTTGGTCGAACCCAGTAAATTTGGTTTAAATCTTGTATTTGTAGATCTTAAAAAATTTATTGAATATGTATAAATTGTTAATTTAAAATCCATTAACTTTGATTTAAACCCTATATTTATCTTATAATAGTCATTCACTATAATTTTTCTTTATTTAGTCTATGACAACAAATACACATTGGCATAAATAAACGAAAGATAACTTAAAATGAAATGACAAGAGAATGATGAGAATCAGAAGACCCCCATCATAGGGTCAAAAAGTAGAAACCCACTACAGGACATCCATTCATAATTCCACTCACAATGTTTAAAATAAGATTGAATACACTATCCCTGACGAAATTTGGACATAATTTCACACCCAAAAATAACAATAAAGTATACTGGTTTCACAAGGTGTAGTCAAAACAAACATATCCCCTTTTCTTTTCCATCATCCAAAAAGTAAACCAACCCATAAAAAGCCAACTCACAAACAACTCAAAACATTCTTTCTTCCTTTAAACTAAGGACAGCTCCAGACAAAGCAGGTGAAATATTTGTTCTTGAGAGGACATCAGCCATTGCTTTTTTTTCTCTTGACTTTTTTTGCTTATTTTCCCCATTTATGGATACTACACAATGGACTCAGGTGGGTACAAAATTAAGTTCATTTTCTGCATATTAATTACTTGTTTTCTAGAAAACAATTATGGATTTTCTTGAATTTCTTTTGGATGTGCATCCTTGTCGATTAAATCCTTCTTTTTTTTTTCTTAAAGATGATTTTATCTTCATGAAATGATGTTCAATCCTGAGCTTCAATTAGAATTTTTTTAAAATTTCTTCTAATCCTATATGTAAACTATGTAAAAAAAAATAATTAAAGCGTTCATTCTCTTTAAACATCAAGTACTGCACTTTTTCTTTCTTCCTCCTTTATACATGATATAAGAGATAAAGCATAGGGAAAAAGGTGATCTTCGTTATTATTATTGTTTACTTTTCAGTTTCCTTCAATTTAATTTCAAAGGTGAAAGTAGTTATCCAGAAATTGTGTCATTTATTTTCACACTAGCCCTTTTTCGCTTTTGATCTTCTTAACCTACTTTGTTTCTCCTTTTTGTGATTGTTAATTTTTAGGATATTGGACTTGTAACATCTATGGCTGCAGAAATAGATCCTCCTAATGTTACATGTTCAAGGCCATCTTCTACACTGGAAAAAAAAGTCAGACCACAAAAAGATCAAGCCGTAAATTGTCCGAGGTGCAGTTCAACAAATACCAAGTTTTGTTACTACAACAACTATAGTCTTACTCAACCAAGATACTTCTGCAAGACTTGTCGAAGGTAATATTCACTATTAAAAAAAGTGGAATTAGCAACGAACTTCGTCACTACTCTATATATAGCGCTCGTAGCGAACAAATTTTTTTAATAATTTGTCGCTAATCCATTGATAAATAGGACTAGCGTTGAATTTTTCTATTTAGCTACAGAATTTGTCTGTCGTTAATTTTTATTTTTTTTAGTAGTGATTGTTGAATTGTGTGACCAACTAATCTAAAAGTTTAAACTGTGTTAGCGATATCACACGTTTAGTTACTAAATTATATTATGTCTCGACAGGTATTGGACAGAAGGGGGCACTTTAAGAAATGTTCCGGTCGGAGGAGGTTCAAGGAAGAATAGAAGATCTTCTTCTTCATTATCATCATCGTCGTCGTCGTCACAAAAGCTTCCTGATTCGAACCCTAATCCAAGTCTTTCTCATCAAAACCCTAATTATAAGATTAATCTTGGAAATAGCCAAGATTTTAATATAGGGCTCCCATCTATTATACATGATCACAATTATTTCCATGGTGTGCCGGATTTTCTTGAATTTCCTAAGATGGACAGGGGCAATAATGGAAATAATCAGCCCTTAAGTTCAACCTCAAGTACTACTCCAACTTCAACAATGGATTTGCTTAGGACTGGAATTGCCTCAAGAGGGTTAACTTCATTTATCTCAACACCAACACCGGATTTAAACGCTTTGTACACATCAAGTTTTTTAAGTGGAATTCAAGAAAATAATGCAAAAATGATGTTCCCATTCGGTTTCTTGAATAAGCAATTGTCGGGTACAAGTGTTGAAGCTGAAAATTATAATCAGAGTAAGGGGCAAGAGAATTCAAGTGCTGGATATTGGAATGGAATGTTAGGTGGAGGATCCTGGTGAATAAACGACATTATGAAAAAATCTAAACTGTATAATTCTTTTTTCCATTTTAATATTTTTCTATCTTTTGACATGCTTTGATCATTAATTTGTTTGGTGATGCTTGGAGCTAATTAGATAAAAGATAGATCTGGTTTCAATTGTGCTTCTCTTTACTCTTTCATCACTTGAACATATGGAATTGTTAATTTCATTAGCTTGTGCAAATGAACTTAATTTTTCGATAAGCATGATTAAACCTTTTTCTTGTTCGTTCTCTTCTCTTATATTTTCTTTCTACGTACTCTCATTATCCAGAGAAGGGTTTGATACTTCTACACTTGCTAACACTAGGCCATGCTGATAGAATTTGTACACTGTCATATAAATTTCTAAACAATTAGTGTAGTTTAACTGATTATAATACGTTATTTATTCTATCTAGGTCATTAATTATATCAAATTTGTTATGAATTATTACATATTATTGCAAAGTTAATTTAACGTGAGAATGTAAACAAATTATACAGTACTTGTGCTCATAAGTTAAACTCTAATGGATATATGTTGCTCTACTTGCTAACACTCGGCTATTGCTTGGCCCTTTGTTTCATGTTTCCATTTCTTGAATAGCAAGATATAGGGTTGTCAAACGGGCAGGTCAGGTCGGATATGTGCGGGTCGAAAACGAGTAATGTAAAACGGATAAAATATATGATCCAACTCATATTCAATATGAATAGAAAATGGGTTAACTGACGAATAATATGATCCATATTTTTCATGTCTTCTTGAATATGATAATTTTGGGGAAAATTCTTAATCTTTCAAACTTGAGGAACCATCAATTTGAGTCTTTGCAAATGTAAAAGTTTGGTTATCCATTGATTATCCATTTTTAAGTGGATAATGTGGATCTTATCCATATGTGACTTATTTTTAAAATATTTATTATGCAACCCATATATTAATGAATAATATGAATGGATGGATAATTATTTTTTTATTCATTTTGCCACTACCACCAGTAGGATATGATTTTCAATTTTACTCGAAACATTTGACGAATGAAAGCGAACTAGATTTGAGAAATAAAAAGATAACTGGTTTATTCTTATCAGAGCAAGATTGATAATTATATTTGTCATCATAAATCAAGCGTGAAGAAAAGGAAAACAGAGGCCATTTCTTTACATGGTTGCCATTATTGCTTTGAGCTGTCACTTTTTCATGCTCGTGCTTGTAATCAGTTTGTGAGGTGGACTACACGAGTCATTGTTCATTCTTCTGCTGTAAAGGTAATAATCAGAGGCTACACGAGGAAGAGTGTCACGACCCAAAAATTACTAGTCGTAAGGTTACTTAACTCGACTCGTTAGGTAAGCCAACTAACATATAATACAAGTCAAAATAAATTATAGGAAGGTAAAAAAGAAATATCTGAACTTTTACAAAATACCCAAGAACTGGTAGTACAAATCATGAGCTTCTAAGACTTAGAATTTACAAGCCGATACAAATAACTACACAATCTGTTGAAAACTACATAACAGGTTAACAAAATCTAAAGCCACCAAGAACAAGTAGTAGCTATATCCGGAATGCACGAACATCTTCAGGGTCAGCTCCCAACATCACCAGCAGCTCTGCTCCAAAAGTCTGCACACAAGGTGCAGAAGTGTAGTATGAGTACAACCGACCCCATGTACCCAATAAGTATTTTGTCTAACCTCGTCGAAATAGTGATGAGGCTTTTTAGTTAAAAGATGCTCACTGATAAAATTTATAATGTAACTAACAATAGAATTATACTACAGTATCACAGAATAGAGTACACAAGCGAATGTATAAAGCAATAACAGAGTACTAGAAGAGATCACAATCCAACAGTTTCCAATATCTTGACCAATCCTTTCCTTAGAGTGAAACCCAATGAACCACAATAATCACCTCAAAACTTTCATAGTGTGAGAGAAACACTCAAGACATCAAATTCAACGGCACGGCAATACCCTTCATGCTTTATACTCTTCCTCACCAAATATGCGTAAAACAATACCAACCGAAGGACAAAAATACCGATAACAGAAATGACAAAGTAGAAAATACGCAAATAGTAATAATGAACAAGAATGTACATAAGGACATCCGTAACAGACTAGGCGAAAAGCATAAAGGTAATGACAACAATTAGGAAAAGGAATATAACTTTAACTAACTAGCATGGTGGAGGCGTGAAGATAGATTTAGTAAATAAGAAAGGGGACACATGATCTTTATAAGTTAACAAGTAGAGACATGAATGACTAAAATGGAAGAAGAGCTGTACCTAAGTGCAATAAAACAGATATGTCATGGATGCAACTATAACAGCAGGAAGTAGGAATGAAATTTACAAGTTAAGCAAGTAGAAGGCATGAGTGTCACAATAATAAATAAGATAAAGAACAAGAACAAGGCTTTAACGACAAGTCACATAAGAACCGTAAGTACGACTGTGACAATTTAAGGTAAGGACATGAAGATATCTGCAAGAAAAAGGGTATCACAACATAATGCATATCCCTCGTCCTCACTTGCACAGAAACACCATTCGTGCCATGAACTCACAATAACACAAAAGCATGATAATATAAATGCAATGGCACGACATCACCCTTCGTGCTTTTACTCATATAACAAGGCACGACATCACCTTTCGTGCTTTTACTCACAAATGATATGGCACGGAATCACCCTTGGTGCTTTTGCTCTCAATAATATGGCACGGTATTACCCTTCGTGCTTTTACTCTCAATAATATGGCACGACATCACCTTTCGTGCTTTACACTCTCCCTCACATGATAATGTATAAACAAAGGCACGGCATCACCCTTCATGCTTTACACTCTTCCTTACCAGCATATGTATATCAATGACAAATAAGGCAGGTATCATAAATAACGTCAAAGAGAGTGTTTAAACGAATATTCCAAATGAATCCCAATCGCAACTTTCCAAGCCAACAATAGTTCAATAAACCCGCAAGAACTTTATTATTCAAGTATTTCAACAAATCTCACAAATAATCTACAACACAAGTATAGAATCTAGTATCTCAAGAATATCGTCCGTAGCAATGTATTAATGATTATGCATATTGATGACCGAATTAAACACACCAATGTATTCTAAGAATTTCATCGAATTTGATCAAGTTAAAATAAGCTAAGTCTTAGTTTACATTTAATACTATCTCCGAGCATGAAGCAAGAAGGTCACGTGATTCTACAAGACACAATTTATAACATAATTTATCTCCAAGAATGGTTAACTCTGGCACATGCATATATGCTCGTCACATCATATATGTATCACCCCCGCATGTACCAAACAATATCAAATAGTAGGAAAAATTCCCTAAATAAAGTTAGGCAAGACACTTACGTCGCTCCAAAAGTCCACTCAAAGCTAAATCATAGCTTTGCCTCTCAAACAAACCTCTGAACCAATAGAATTTAGCAAATTACCAATCGAACGATTCAAATCAAGCCTTAGGAACTACCCACAATTGCAAAAGATTCAATTTAGGTCATTGTTGAAAAAGTCAACTCCCGGGCCTGCTTGGTCCAAACCTGAAATTCGAACCAAAACTCGAGTACCCGTTCACCCTCGAGCCCGGTTATGTAATTTATTTTGAAATCCGACCTCAATTTGAGGTCTAAATTCCAATTTTATAAAAATCCCTAATTCTAACCAAACTCCCAATTCTCACCATGAAAACACTAGATTTTAGGTTGAAAACTTATGAAATCTAATAAAAGATCGAAAGAAAATAGGTTAGAATCACTTACCAATGGATTGGGGGAGAAGAATTCTTTGGAAAATTTCCTCTAGGGTTCTTGAGTTTAAATATTTGAAGAATGAACCAAAAATCCCGTCTAAGTCAAGTTTTGATCAGTTGCAGGTGTCGCATTTGCGACCTGGGGTTCGCAAATGCGAGCCCCGCAAATGCGACAATTTCTTTACAAATGCGAAACTGCCCTAGGCCTGTTGTCATCGCAAATGCGAACAAGTGTTCGCAAATGCAGATAAGAGAGGATCGTAAATGCGACCAAAACTTTACAAATGCGAAGGTCCACCCCCCCAGCCCACTGCTCGCAAATGCGAGGCTCGCATTTGCGAGCCAGATCTCGCAAATGCGGAATCTGCAGTTACGATGCACGCCAGCTATGATTTTCTAAGTTCAATTCATTACGTAGCCTATTCGAAACTCACCTGAGCCAACGAGGCTCCAAACCAAACATACACACAAGTCTAAAAATATCATACGAACTTACTCGTGTGATCAAATTGCCAAAATAACACCTAGCACTATGAATTGAGCACCAAATCAAATAAAATTTTCAAGAAAATTTTGAAACTTCTATTTTCACAACCAGGCATCTGAATCATGCAAAACCAACTCCATTTCTCACCAAATTTCATAGACAAGTCATAAATATGGTATTGGACCTATACCGGGTTCCAGAACCAAAATACGGACCCGATATCTAAAAAGTCAACTATGGGTCAAACATTTCAAATTCGTTAAGTCTTTAAACTTTCAAATTTCAACAAAATGTGATAACTCGAGTTAGGGACTTCCGAATTCGATTCTGGGTATACGCCCAAGTCTCAAATCACGATACGGACCTATCGGGACCGTCATAATACGGATCCGGGTACGTTTGCTCAAAAAGTTGACCAAAGTCAACTCAAATGGCTTTTAAGGCAGAAATTTCATATTTTATTAGTTTTTAACATAAAAGCTTTCCGGAAATACACCTAGACTACGCACGCAAACTGAGGAGGTCTAAAATGAGGTATTTGAGGCTTCAAAGCGCAGAATTAAGTTCTAAGACATAAGATGACCTATCGGGTCATCACATTTTCCACCACTTAAACATACGTTCGTCCTCGAATGTGCCAAGAGTCATTTCAAAGCTATCAAACCACGGTGTAACCTTACTATGCATATACCCGGGGGTGATCTCACGTCACCCTGATCCATATAAGCCTGCCAACGTAACATGACTAGAGATTCTTACTTCAACCTTGGTCCTTAAACCTTAGAACCCAATATCTAACGTCCTGAATTCATTACAATACCCGAATCTCACATCTACACACTGTATAAACCTAAAAAAGTTATATTAGGTCATAACCATAACCCCAAGATGAAATCA